AAAATAAGGCTGCTACGTGAAGAATTTCTTGCAGAATTATTTCAGAATTTTCTTTATTTTCTTAAAGAAATTTCTTTGCGAGTTCGTGTCAACCACTTCATATAAGTTTCTTTGAATATTCGTAAAAAAAATCGTTACAGAAATGAGATACTCATAAAGATTTCGGGAACTTTGGTTTGCAGGGTTAATATGGAAAAAAGTTTCTTCGAAATCTTGAACTTTAATAAACACTGAAGCTAATGTATGAATGTAGTAGATGTTTTTAAATTATTTTAGGCCCTTAGTGAGTAATCAACCGACCTTTGAAATTCGAAAGAATATTATATGCGTGGTGTAGTGGTAAGCAGTCCGCGCTTCCGCTCCGCAGAGCCTGGGTTCAAGCCCTGGTCAAAGCAAGATCGCAAAAAAAGATTTAGAAAAAAGGTTTTTTTTAGCAGCGGTTGCCCCTCGCCAGGCAATGGCAAACCTCCGAGTGTATTTCTGTCAAGGAAAGACAGCTTCTCATAAAAATACACCCACTGTTCGAAGTCGGCGTAAAACTGTAGGTCACGCCACAAATCGGAGGAGAAGCTCGGCCAAACACTAACATATTTGTAAGCGCAAATTTTTAATTATTATTTTATATGAATGTTGCTTCTTTACCACTGAAATATGTATATGTTTTGAATTCGTTGGGAATTTTGTGGGATAAATTTTTAAGATGTGGGTAATTGAGGAATTTCTATAGATTTTCGTGGGGTTTTTAACAGAGAATGTCTGGCATCACTGTACCAGGCCCATTCGCTTTTCTTGCTTATCCAACTTGGAAAAGGCAGAACAGACTTCGCGGTTCTTGTTACCGAGCGTGTCGATGTCCGTATCAGTTTTGATGGGATACCAAATTCGAACATCGCATCGTATAGGCACCTCCTTTTAGTGCTATCGAAAGCGGCTTTGAAGTCAACAAATAGGTGGTGGGAGTCGATCCTTTTCTCGAGGGTCTTTTCCAAGATTGGCGTATTGTGAATACCTGGTCTATGGTGGATTTGCCAGGTCTAAAGCCACACTGATAAGTTCCAATCAGTTCGTTGATGGTGGGGTTAAGTCTTTCACGCAACACGCTCGATAAGACCTTGTGACCTTTAGATTGGGCTAAGCACACTTAAATTCCAGTCGTCGGGTATGTGTTCATCTGACCATATTCTGCATAAGAGTTGATGCATGCGCCTTGCCAACTCCTCGCCGCTGTACTTGAATCAGAGTGTCCATATTGGACGATTTAGCGCCAATTTGGCGGTTTTTCTTTGATATTTGCGCGTAAAAATTTAGGAATTCGCCTTTTGCGATTTTTCCCCTACAAGTAAAATTTTTTTGCGCTGTCATGTAAATGCGCGGTCGCCCCTCGGCAGGCAATGGCAAACCTCCGAGTGTATTTCTGCCATGCTGCCACAGCTTCTCTTAAAAATACAATCGGCTTTCGGTAGGTCCCTCCCCTTTGTGTGACAACATCAAGGCGCACGCCACAAATCGAAGAGGAAGCTCGGCCAAACACTAACATATGTGTAAGCGCCAATCTATTATTATTATTAAATATTTAGAGGGTGCTCAAAGCGCTCGAGTTTCCCATGTATTTTATATGGCGAAAAAAACAATTTTTCGTGGAAATGGTATAGTTCAACGGTGGTCAAATGCGGCTCTTTGAGCCAAATGCGGCTTTTTGCTTAGCAACGTGCGGCTCTTTTTACTTTCTCTTTGCTTAGAACATTTTGGCTCTTTTTACTTAAAACACACATTTCTTTGATGTACACTCTTTTCCATTGTGTTGTTTCTTTATTTTATTCTTTTTATATACACATACGCAAATCGAGATCGGAACATTACCCGCAATTGGATAATGAAAATTGGTTTTCTGCCTTATGTTCTTTACCGATATGATGGGACATTTGGAAAACTTGAATTTGTCTCTACAAGGAGAGAATAGAAATGTTTTTGATTTGTCTCAAATTATTTTAAGTTTTTAAACTAAGCCCCGGTTTTTTTATTCATGATCTCAAAAAAAGAATATTTCATAATTTTCCATGACTAGAAAAAAAAATATTGCACACGATTTAAAAGCATATTTTGAGAAAAGATTTGCCGATTTATTTAAATGTACGTTTGCATACTTCATAAACCCTTTTTAATGTAATATAATTGAGGATGAATTTACAATATCCGAAACACTCCTTTAATTAAAAGAAGATAAGGCACTGAAAATACAACATAAAGCTTTGTCATTGCTTGAATTCCGGCAACAAGTACCAGATTTAAAATATCCGCTGTTGAAAACAGCTGCGTGCCATATATTTAGAATTTTTGGTACCGATTTCGGCCGAACAATTTGACCGTCCGAACTGATGCGCACACTTAACCGGATAGTGTTCATTTCATTTTGTAAGCAGTGCAATATTTTGATAAATTTTTATGTGACATACTCTAAACATGTGATTGCATAGGTAATTTTTTTGCACCATTCGGCCGATGCCATCTGCAGTGTGCGCGTAGCGTAACTGTGAGTCTTTGTACTCTGCAATGAATTTCGTAAAGTCAAAATACCGTCCACAATTAGTTGCATTCGCGTACCTGATAATAGGAGTGTACTCGTACGCCCAACTTTCTAAAGTTTTGGAAAACTTTTACTGGTTTTGCGTTCTCGTACCCAAAAAGCTTGCAAAGTAGGGGAAATTGAGAGAGAAAAGTGTGAAAGAGAACTGCAAATTTCTGCTGGAAAAATTTTCCCAGCTAAAACTTGCAAGTAAGAAAATCAGCTGATCACAAACACATGTTTGTAAATAAACAAAAGAAAATATGGCCTTTTTGAGTTATTTATTGCAAATTTTATTATTAATGCTAGTATACAACGAAAAAGTTGCTATTAATCTCCAGTTTGTTTACTTTAGTGTGTGCTGACTATGGTTGCCGTATGACATTTTTAGTTTGTACCATAATTTTCCTTTAAATATACCAAAATAGATTTAAATGCAGCATGCTAAATGTTTTTTTGCTGAAGTTTTCGGTTTTGGTAGGTTGATTGTTGAAATGAAAATTTTATAATTTTAAAGCTACATCTGTAGCTATATCTATTACATTTTTTTGGATCAATGTTGGGTGTTTGGAGGAGATACTCTTGTTTTTGAATGCGTCACCATGTGATATCACAAATGATTATGAGAAAAATAACTTATTCATTCCGATATAATTAATTTGTATTTTAAAAAGGTTTTTCTTATCCAAAACTATTCAATTGTATAGAATGCCAAATCAGAGGAAAATATACCAAGCAGAAAACAAATTGCCAAATTAATCACCAGTGGCAACTGTGCAAGTGATCAGCTGTTTCGAAGGTTGCAAGTTTTTGCAAATTTTGCGTTCTCGTACTTCTGTTGACATTTCGTCTCTTTGAGAGCGGATGCTGCTAAATTCTCAGAACTTTTGCTGCTGGAGAATTTGGCCCTCTCAATACGAGTACACACCTAATTATTAAAAGTTACAAAACTATCAGCTTTTTATGTTCGCGTACGCAAAAAACTTGCAAAGTAGGGGAAATTGGGAGAGCAAAATGACATTTAATTTCGAGGGAACGCTGCTAGTTTCCGCTGAAAAATTTTAGCCAACAGCAATTTGGCAACAAGAAACAGCGGATCAAAAACAACTGGTTGGAATTTACGCATATCCCTAAATTGAATTTGATGGTTTGGAAGTTGAAATAGTAAAATGCGACTAATTAGACTTGTAAGAAGTAAGTAATTATTCGTTTAGTCAGTGAACTGTGTCAGGATAAGACTTCGGAATTTGTTTTCTTACGTTTTCAATTGTATACGTTTGAATGTAAACAAAATTTCTATCACCTCTTTGTCTAACTTACACGTTTCTGCAAATCTTCTGTTAGCGTACTATTTTGAATATTTTTCTCTCGTGAGAGAACAGATGACATACAATACAATACAATTTTTGCTTTTGTTGGTTTTTTGTGGCTCTTTGTAGCATTAAGAATTTACATGTGGCTCTTTTCGGCCTCGGCCTTGCCTACCCCTGGTATAGTCTCTTGAAGAGAAACGGACTTTTCCGATTGAAAAAGATTGATTTTCTATACCATTTCTACGAAATTTTTTTTCCATATAAAATACATGGGAAACTTTGCGCGCTTGAGCACCCTCTAAATATTTATTGATAAAAAATATCGGAGGATTTTTTTTTTCGATGTAGAAAAATTCTAGAGTTAAAATTCCGACTTTACTTTTTTTGGACCACTCTTTTGTGTACTCTATGTTTAATATTTTTTTATAAAAGTTTATCGCATTATATAGCAAGCACCATATAGATCCGCACTTTAAACTTTGTACAAATATTATAAAAATTCAACAAATTTGACCAAAACCCCAAAAAAATTTCAAACTTTTTTTTCAAAATTTGTAGAAAAATTTTGGGTATGCATTTTTATAGCCCATGAAATTTTAGGAGGAGTGCAAGTGAGGGGCCACGAAAATTAATCTTATGGTTGCTTGGTAGCCTCTATATTTAACTTAAAGTTTTTTGAGTGGTGTGTAGCAGGGCTGCAAACCACTCCAGAAATCGGCGCGGCTCGGTTCAGTGGTTCGAACCACTTAGAAAAAGCTTGTACCGGTACAAGAGTATTCCTGAACCGCGATTCGGTTCGGTTCAAGTGGTTAAATTTCTCTATGCTAAAGTATACAAATATTACAAAAATATGACAAATCGTTAATATAAAAATTAAAGGCTTTGTTATTGAGATCAAATTTAAACATCCCCATGTAAAGTGATGAAAAAAATAGCGACGCGACATGTTATCAAGTATTGGCTATTTTTCTTTTCTTTATTTAATGTTTATTTTATTTTTTACCATGTGTAATAACGACCACTATTTACATTAACTAAGATTATTTCACATTTATTTGTTCAATAGTATACTAATACATTTGCTTGTACAACCAAAAACCAATTTTACAATACTTCACATTAATTCACAGCTGATTCGTTTGTTCTTCATTGTCATCGTTCGCATGGCAGGGTTGCCACATCTCTCCCTTCTTTTTCAGTTTAAGTTTTAACCCGGCTGTTGGTTTCTTTTCGTCGCTGTGGTTTTTCGGATGGGTGCATTGCTCAAAGCTGTCTGTATATGTATCAGCGTGTAACCCTTGATTGTGGTTGGGACTTCCCTGGGATGGTGTTGAGTTTGTGTTGCCGGTGTCGCCTATTGGTGGTTGAGGTGATAGCACCTTCTTACAGTGACTTACGTTGCGTTTTATTTTCCTTCCATCACCTAGTAGCTCCACTTCATTGCCTTCTCTTCCAACAACCTCGTATTCCGTTAAGTCGAAATTTGGTGTCAGCTTAGATGGAAATACAACATTTTTCACGAGCACTTTGTCTCCCACATTTATGGTGGACTCCCTGGCACCTCTTCTTTTATCGGATACTTCTTTTCCTTTCTGATTATTCACAAGATCACTATCTCTCGCCGACGAATCAACCATTACATCCGCCAGATCTCGTATGTCTGGAAGCTTGTCCCGGATCGTTCTATTGAACATTAGCTCTGTTGGGGTCTGCCCTGTAGTACCATGAGGTGTTACATTGTATGTCAATATAAACTTTTGTATTTCTTCCTTGAGGTTGGCTTTGTTCAAGCTAGCAATTTTAAGTCGTTTAACCAAGGACCGATTCATGTTCTCCACTTCTCCGTTAGCTTGTGGCCAGTATGGAGGAGTGTTAACCAACGTAATCCCATTACCTTCGCAAAAAGTTTTAAATTCAGAACTGACAAATTGTCTGCCATTATCCGTTCTTAGTGACCTTGGAATACCGAGTCTGCTAAAGATTTCCTTCATAGCTGTGATTATTGCCTGGGACGAAATCGAACTGAGGAATTTAACTTCCTGATAGCGAGAGTAATAGTGAATCAGGACCAAGATATTATCATTATTTGGAAGAGGACCTAACAAATCAGTTGCCACAAACTGCCATGGCCCGTTTGGGAAAACATGTCGCTGCATTGGAGGGGGGCGGTTTGGATTCGACACAAGTAAACAGCTTTTGCAAGTTTTAACATATTGTTCTGCTTCTCTATCCAGTCCCGGCCACCACACTTTTGCTCTAAGACGCCGTTTCATCGCTGACTCACCGGGATGGCCTTCATGAGCCAAATGAAGAACCCTCTTCCGTAACACTTCGGGTATCACAATTCTCGTACCCCGCAGCAACACTGTGCCTATTGATGAAAGTTCGTGCCGAAATGGATAGTAGCAGTTGGAGGTTTCAGCTTGCCAAATATCATTTTTAATCTGTGTGATAGCAGTAGACAACTCGTGGTCAGCAGCACTTTCTTTGGCTATTTCAGGTATGGGGATGGATTTTGGGGTAGCGCAGGAGACCATGTGACAAATGCTGTAATCACCCCCTTCGTCGAACGAGTCACATTTTCTAATTTTGCACAGTCTTGATACTGAGTCCGCAATATTTTCTTTGCCGGAACGATACACGACCCTAAATTTGAACGACTGAAGTCGCAATACCCATCGCTCTATTCTTGCTGGTGGTTTTGACGTTGGCTTGAAAATCGCCTCTAGGGGTTTGTGATCAGTGACGAGATCAAATTCTAATCCCGCCAGATAATAGAAAAATTTCTCCACAGCCCAGACTAAAGCGAGACTCTCTTTTTCGGTTTGGGAGTAACGGCGTTCCACCTCTGATAAGCTTTTGCTTGCGAAACTTATTATCAATGGTTCATTATTGTTATTAAATTGTAATAAAACAGCTCCAAGAGCCACCGGGCTTGCATCGGCTATGACTTGCGTTCTGCTTCTTGGGTCGAAATACGAGAGATTCGGGATATGGGCTAATCTCTCTTTGAGATCTTTAAACGCATTTTCTTGAGCGCTCGACCATATAAATTTGCTGTTGGCTTTAAGCAACACCCTTAACGGATATGTAATGTGTGATAAATCGGCAATAAATTTGCCTACATATGTAACAAGCCCCAGAAAGCTTCTTAACTCTTCCTTTGTTTCTGGTGGCCGGAAATTTAAAATTAGTTGAACTTTTCCGGGGTCCGCTTTGATGCCAGTGTTTGATAATATGTGACCCAAAAATTTCAGCTCTGTAGCTTTATACACGCATTTACTCTTGTTTAGCAGCACGTCGTTTTCTTCGCATATCTTTAATACTTCTCGCACTGCTTCATCATGTTCCAATTCCGTTTTCCCAAAAATGATCACATCATCTAAATAATTATGGGCATTTTTACATGGTGATAGTATTTCAGCCAACACACGCTGAAAAATCTCCGGTGCTGAGTTCACACCGAAAAGGAGCCGCTTATATCGAAATAACCCCTTGTGGGTAATGAATGTGGTTATCTCTCGACTAGATTCATGTAGTTCCAATTGATGGTAAGCATCCTTTAAATCAAGTCTTGAAAAAAACTTTGCTCCTCGCGCTTTAGCTATGAACATCTCAAAAGTGGGTAGCGGGTAATTTTCGCGTAAAATAGCTTTGTTTGCTAAACGCATATCGATACATAGCCTAATTTCACCATTTTCTTTAAAAACCACCACAATTGGAGAAATCCACGAGCTTGGACCCCTTACCGGCTCTATTATGTCACGACTACACGCTTCATCCAATTTCGCGGCTACTTTTTCTTCAACCGCTACTGGCACTCGTCTTAACGACTGTTGAACAGGCTTCACATTCAAGTCAATAGATAATTTAATTTGTCTATTTTTAATTTTTGGAAAAGGCTGCACCATCTCAACTCGACACGCTTCTAAACCTAGTTTTAGAACGTTGAGTTGAGTTGCTGTTTTCTTACCCAAAAGTGATTGACTCCCTTTTTCGACAACGTAAAATGTGGCAACCACTTCTCGATTTTGCAGCACACTAATAGGGGCTTCAAAGATTTTCAAGACTTTAAGTGGCTTATCTGTAGCGTATGCTCTAAACCTCTCCGTTGATTGAGACCTAACATTCCACATAACAGCATTGTTGCAGTTGAGCCAATTCCAGTGGTTTTCACTCAAAAGATTTGCAGGAGATCCCGAATCAATGACCATTTCCACCAATTCACCTCCGATGCTACAAATGATATCGTCATCTCTTTCGGTTGTGCCATTAATCCTAAAGCATTCTAACTCTCTGCAGTCTTCGTCGCTCTCCATTCGATCTTCAATGTTGCGTACGTTTGAAAATTCCTTTCGTTTTTTTGGATTAAACTTTTTGGTCGTTTCGGCTGACCTTTTCAGGTTTCTAGTTTTGCATTGTTTTGCAAAATGACCTAGCAGATTACAGCGTTTGCAATATTTGTTACGAGCTGGGCATTTAGTACTATCCGAATTATGATCATTATAACCACATCTTATACATGATTTATTTGAGTCATTCCCAAAACGGTTTTTGAAGGAAATCTTACTAACAACCGCAGAGTTATCTGCCCCTAAAATTCCCTGTGAGTGTTTAGTTATTTGATCGGAGACCTTACACGCATTAATTATTTCGTCCAAGGTTTGTTCCTTTTCGAGAAACCTCTTTTTCAAATCAGTCGACGCCCACGAATCAATTATTTTGTCTACCATACAGATTTCCTCAATTTCGGCTTTTGTCGTTCCATAAGAGCATTTCGCTAGTTGTTGCCTCAGCCGAACCAAGAATTTGTTAAATGATTCGCCCTCAATTGGACTCAGATTCCGAAAAATATGCCTCTCAAACACTGTGTTTCTTGCTGGTGCAAAATATTCGTTGAGCTTGTCAACTAAGATCGCGTACACATCATTTTCCGCTGTTGTATCATATTCAACCAAGGCCCCAGGAATATTGTAAATTATCTCCTGCAGTTGCGGGCCACCCAAATGCAGCAGCTTGCTCTTCTTTTTTACAACTGCTGATATTTCCTCCGCTTCAAGGTACAACGAGAAAGAACGTAACCATTTCTCCCATTCCTGTCTGACCATGGATTTATCAATCGTGTCACAAAGGAAGGGTTTTATTTCCGACATGTTTCCCGCCTATATCAGAAGGTACCTATAAAATAAATGCAATTAGTTAATAACCAGCATATGTATGTATGTTGCTAAACTGCGCCTAGTCAATATTGCGCTATTCTGGTACATTTGTATCCCCGGCCAATTCCATAGCCCCATTTTGATACATTTGTATCATTTGGAAATTTTCTGTCCCTAGCGATTCATTTGTCGCTTTTTTCTGTTTTGTTGTTTTAATTTTGATACATTAGTATCCCATGCAACATTTTTTTTTTTATTCTTGCCCACTGACAAATTTATGTGCAGCATAACAACTTCACAAGTGCCTTACTTTGTTGTTGTACAATTTTCCACTTGTTTGCAAATTAAATTATATTTTCACTGTTTGCGCGTGTTCCCAGTCGTCGCCAATGTAATAACGACCACTATTTACATTAACTAAGATTATTTCACATTTATTTGTTCAATAGTATACTAATACATTTGCTTGTACAACCAAAAACCAATTTTACAATACTTCACATTAATTCACAGCTGATTCGTTTGTTCTTCTTTGTCATCGTTCGCAAGGCAGGGTTGCCACACCATGTAAACCCAATTTTAAACTTTGTGCAAAAATTATGAATATTCTTCACAGTTTGCAACATTTTAATAAGAACTTCTAGAAAAATGTTTAAGTTTTAAGTTGATATTTTAGCAATTTCGAAAAAAAAATTATTTAAAATCAACGCGATCAAAGTGAAATTAGAAAAAATTTAATAAACTTTTTAAGGATTGAACAAGGGGTGAGCCTAGTCGAGTATATAGATTAAAACAGCATACTCAGAACTTTGAATTGACCCTCAAAATCTTGGCTTAATGTTGAAAACCTCATTTTCGGTAGGCTGGAACTTACACTTGGCCTTAACTTCATATGTATGTACAAGTATACCTATGGTCAAAAAAATTTAAGTGCGGCATTTGACAATTTTTTTTTTAATGTTAATTAATTTTTTATAAAAATATAGCTCGTTATATAACAACAAGCATATAAATCCAAATTTCAACTTTGTACAAAAATTTGAAAAAATCAACAAATTTCATCAAAATTGCATTAAAGATTCAAACTTTTTAATGCAAACTAAAAAATCCGAGTTTTACACATTTTTTATTAAACTGGCATTGTTAAGCATTTTTTTCCACATAAAAATAAAATCAAGTATTCTTTATATGGACGAAATTACAACTCACGGAGTTGCCATCAAACAAAAAAATTTTGCACTTTTACTATACGGGTTGCATTTTTAGACCAAGTTGTGTATTCCAAAACTTGAAAAATGCTTCAGTGGATTTTCATTTTAAACCGAACCGAACCATTTTTTGGAGTGGTTTTCGGTTCGGTTTTGGCATTTCATAACGGTTCAGTTCGTGGTTCGGTTCGAAGCCCGAAACATGCGACGGTTCGGTTCAAAAACAAGAATTGACGAGTAGCCGAAGTGTAAAGACGTAGTTTTAGTTCGCTCTTGCTTTTTCTTTGTATTTTCAATTTATATCACAAATGGAAGACTCTTGTGGAAAGTGTGATAAATCATTTGCTAGAAATGACTCCTCACTAGTGGCGTGTAGTGGGTTTTGCGGAAAACGATTCCACCGCGCTTGTTGCCAAGGCACAGGGCCTTATGAATATGATGTTAATCTTTTTAAGAAGAATCGGCATATTAGTTACAGGTGCTCGGATTGTGTTAATGTGCCGGAAAAAATTATAAAATTATATGACTCTGTTCTGGCTACACAGAAGCTTGGTTTTGAGTCGGTCATTTGTGCTCTAGACAACAAACACAAAGACTTATCGGCGAAATTTGATGATTTTAAGAATCTAATTAATTCTATTTGCCTGTCTATTAATGCTGCCAACAACAAAAATGCAAAGTGTTTGGCGATGCTACCTGCTGATGTTAGTGCTCTGAAAAGTGCAGCTGTTCTGACCAATGCTACTGTTGCTAATAGCAACTGTAATTCGCTATTTCTCTATTCCGAACATTTCTACTGAGGCTGATGCTGCTGCTGTCTCGCCCTCGCCAATGCTGGCAAGTGCTGATTGTTTTGGTGATAATTCGCAAGCACAGGGGAATAATAACAGTTCAACTGCACCGAAGTCGATGAACAAAAAGCTACTCGCTAAAGTGAATTTAACATCATGTTCGGCGGGTGCCTCGCACTCTTCATTANTGCTGCTGCTGTCTCGCCCTCGCCAATGCTGGCAAGTGCTGATTGTTTTGGTGATAATTCGCAAGCACAGGGGAATAATAACAGTTCAACTGCACCGAAATCGATGAACAAAAAACTACTCGCTAAAGTGAATTTAACATCATGTTCGGCGGGTGCCTCGCTTTCTTCATTAGATAGCACTGCTGTCTCTGCTGCTAACATTATTGATTATGTTGTGAAACACGCTAACATAGACGTGAAATTAGTAGCAAGCTATAAATTAGTTAAGAAGGATGCCGATATGGATTCGTTGAATTATGTCAATTTCAAGCTTGGTGTTAGAGGTGATGACAACAAGAAAGTGCTGAAGCCTGAGTTATGGCCGGCTAAGGTGACCATCTGTCCGTTCCGTTTTTTTCAAAAAGACGGGAAACAAACGCAGCAAGATTAGTTGGCTCATCGCCTATGCTTCCATCTAAAAATATTAAGATTTATTATCATAACGCATCTGGGCTTAGAGGCAAATCTGACGCTGTTCGAATGTTTAGTTCTCTTTTGGAATATAATGTTTATGTCATTACTGAGTCCTGGCTTAACACAAATTTTTTCGACGCTGAATTTTTTGATATGAAGCTCTTCACCGTACGGAGTAACCTCCAAGCTACATCCATCCCTCTGCTGAATGAAGATACGCTCCTCGATCAACTTTGCGATCGTTTGCGTGGTGCCCACGGCTTCTTCTATCTCTGCACCTCTTACATACCTCCAGATAATAATTATGCTTTATACCGAGCCCACGTCGAAAATGTGATTGCTATTCACCGTGTCGTTGGCAACAATCAACTGTGTGTTCTTGGTGACTTTAATTTAAGTAATCTTAATTGGCATTTTTTTGAATAATGATGCATTTTTAACACCCTCAAATATTAATAGTTCTTATGAATCTTACTTTATTGATAATTTACTAGGTATTGGATTAGTTCAGGTCAATGGCTTGTATAATTGTTTGAATCGCTTTCTAGACTTGATATTTGTTAGTAATGGCTTACATTCTATTGTATCGCAACCTCCCTCTTCAATCTCGCCACCTAACTTGCATTACTCGCCTGTTTTGTTGATAGTCGAATTTTATGAGTTTTTTGATTATCCTACCGTAAAATCAAATTTGTTTAATTACGCTCGTTGTGATTTTGGCATGTTAGATAATGTTTTCAGTGAATTTGATTGGGAAGCTTTGTTTGGTGAGAGTGAGGTGGATGGCTGCTTTAAAATTTTCAAAAGCTCCATTACGGAAGTGTGCTCTAAAGTTGTGCCTGTTTACTCGCGGAAAAAATATCAGCTTCCTTGGCATTCGACTAAGCTCAGGCATTTAAAAATTTTGAGGAACAAGTACTTTAAGAGGTACAAGTCATCCAATAATCGACATTTTTATGATTTGTGTATTTCTTATAAGTATAAATTCTCTTTGTTAAATAAGGACTTATATAATAACTACATTCGTAATATATTAATTATCAAAGATAACCCAAAGAATTTTTGGAATTATATTTAGTCTAGGAAAAATACGTGTAACATTCCCAAAAATATTTTCTATAATGGTATCACTGCATCCTCCGTGAGTGAAGCATCTAACTTATTCGCTGACTTCTTCTCATCTAATTTTGCGACTGATGATGGTGTTCTTGATGTAGATTTGAATAACATTCGTCGAAACCACTCTAATAACTTGTTTTAAATTTTTGATTTTGGATCACTCACTCTCACGGAGGCTGACGTTATAGAAGCCATAAACAAAATAAAAAATTCCTCACAGACTGATGTGGATGGTCTTTCAGTCAATCTGCTGAAAAATTGTGCATCTTTAGTGACACCGCTCACTTTAAAATATAATAGGTCTCTATCTGCAGGTACCTTCATAAATGATTGGAAACGTACTACTATCACCCCAGTATTTAAAAGTGGCAGTAAAAGCGATATTACGAATTATAGGCCAATTTCAAAGCTATCGTCGGTCTCCAAACTATTCGAATGCATTATAAAAAATAAGCTGCATTTTATTGTGAAGCATTTGATTAGTCCTAACCAACATGGGTTCGTGGCGGCCAGATCCACATTAACTAATCTCTCAGTTTTTACAGAGGATTGCTTTGCGACTTTCCGACGTGGATATCAGGTTGATGTGATTTACACCGATTTCTTCAAAGCCTTCGATAAAATTTCCCACAAAATATTGGTTGTTAAACTAGCTAATTTTGGTTTTCATTCTGTTTTTTTGAAATGGATCAAGTCGTACTTGGAAAATAGGAGTTCTAGTGTTGTTATAGATGGTCTCTCATCTAAACCATTTATTGCAACCTCTGGAGTTCCTCAGGGTAGTATCTTGGGCCCATTGTTTTTCATTCTTTTTATCAATTATGTATCGTCGTGTTTCTCTTCAGCTCGTTTTCTTCTTTAAGCGGACGACCTGAAAGTATACTCTGAGATTAGATGTCACAGCGACTCGGTCAGTCTTCAATCAGAACTCAATAAGCTTTATAATTGTTGTGCCATGAATCATCTCTTCCTTAACATCAATAAATGCCACAAAGCCACGTACTCTAAACTGCCTAAAACCTCTGTCCACTTCTTACCATTTAGCTAATTCCGTTCTCAAATCAGTTGATGTGTTTAAAGACTTGGGAGTGTTTTTTGATTCCAAGTTTAATTTTAATGCGCATATAAATTATACCATCTCAAACTCTCTCGCAATGCTAGCTTTTGTTAGACGACATTCTTCGCAATTTTCTGACCCGTACACACTTAAGACTTTGTTCACTGCCTTTGTACGG